TGCCAACTTCGTCTCCTGAGTGAAGGATGCGGCCGTGAATATATCACAAATTAATTGCGCGCGCGTTATGAAACCTCTCAACGTTTATGCATTCAATTAGGCAGCTGTCTATCGGGCTGAGGATCATTGGGAGCTAATACTGTTGTATAAGCACGAGTGCATTACGTTCGAAAGTTTGTGAAGAGGCAAAACGCATACCGTGTGGCAGGAAGTGCTCCCAGCTAAGACATAAACAAACGGCCAGTGCAGGCCGCTCCAGTTGCAGTTGCAGTTCGAGCAGAGGAAATTTCTTGCCATAAATTCACTAAAAGCTTTCGCAACGAAAATTTGTTGCTGCCTTCCGCTGACAACATGGCTCACCTGGCAGGAGCCACAGGAGTCGCCATTTGCTCTCACCTCTCCCTGCCTCATTCTGTCTCTCCCTCTCTGTCAGCTCCGGCCGCTAGTTTCTCTCTCAAGGCTGGCTGCAGCCAAAGCAAAATTTACGCCTCTACCTTCATTATTATTGCACTTTGCCCCAAACAACGTTGTTGTTGTTTTTCTTTTGGCTGCTGTTTTTGTTGCCGTTGTTGTTGCGCCGGTTGTTGGCGGCTGTGGTTGGCTTTCGCTACCGCAGACAATTTGGCAAACGTGCAAACCAAGTTTCTAAATAAAAGTGCAAACTAAATGAGCATTTAGTGTGCGCGCATCGTAAATTCCTGTTGAAATATTTCTGTCGTCTTACAATTTAGCTGGCATACCCATGGCTGAAGTTCCACTTCGGGATGCGCCCGTTTTAAAGCATTAAATGTATGCGCTGTACCACGCGGCGTATGCGTTATGTGTTCAGTTTACACTTATTAAGCAACTCTCTGTTTGCCTATGTGTCTGAGTGGGTGGATGATGTGTGGGTTGTATATGTGTTTGGGAGCCTTTGACAAAGTTAAGGCCGCCTCATGACGTTGGGCATAATAAAATGGTTTAATGAGGCGTCGCTGCCGTGCACCTTTTATGTGTCTGGCAATAGTCGTTTGCCTGGACCTGGACAAAAACTGCTGCTGGTCGGACACAGACACACACACACACATCAACTGGCACACTTGCTGTCAACACAGTCGCACATGACTTCATTAGTGTAATGAAAACAGGCAAAAAAAATGTCAAGGTTGCTTTCAGGCCGCTTCGTGCGAATTGTCGCCGTCAATGTTTGTCCATTTGCGAGAGCTTACTGCGAGAGAGCCGACTGCCAAAAGGTTAACACTTGCAAAATGGCTGACGTGGACGTGCCGCATTCTCGTTTTGAATAACAAATTTAATTAGAATTAATACATAAGAACTAGAGCCGAGCAAATCTAAACATTACCCCTGCCGCCCTCTCCAAACTTGGCCCGGTGTAAGTATCTAGTGCTATGCATGAAAATACCATTCACATATACGAGTGTATTATACACATCACATCAGGCAATTACTATTTCTTTGGCTCCTTTTTCTGTGAATTCAGGCATCCTAGCATACAATGCTGAAACTTTAGCATTCCTGTTCTCAGGGCAACAGCTTTCTAGAAAAAGTTCTTATCATATATTTAATCAGCAATTTACTAATTAGAAGCTTGATATAAAATGACTAGCGCCTATTCCTCTGCCTTGTCCGGGCCTAGTTTTTATAGGCTGACCCCATTGAAAATGAGTAAAAAATAAAATGGATTTCTGCAAATGTACATAAATGCGGGACGAATGCATCTTCGAAAGTATATTTATGCCTGATCAGGATGATGAGCAGAATCGGTCTGGCTATTCATTCATTAACGCGTTGAGCTCGGCAAAAATAATAGGTCCTTCTATAGTCCGCGCAGTATGAGTTTGTTAAATGATCCATAAATTGCGCCATTCCATGAAATCGATATAAATCGATATAGAAATCGTGCCTTTTTAGCATATCTCAGAGCTTATAAGAGCTAGAGACACCAAATTTGGTATGTAAACCCAGAAAAGAACAATCTTTTTAAATTGTAATACGTATTAGTATTGTGGATTTGTTATTTGTACACATTTGGACGCTATATATATGCCACAAAAATCGGACAATAATAAAAAAAATTCACGAAAGCTTTTCCCATAGTGTGGCGACAAGGTAAGAAAAAGCATGTGTACATTTCGAAGGAAGCTGGGTTTAGGGCATCTCCTAGTTAGACAGTCCCATAGCGCTTTCTCTCTTTCTTGTTATTCGTTGCATTTATAAACAATATTAAACAATTTCGAGATATTAAAAGAACTTGTGTATTAATTTTTACTACAAGCCACATGCTCTGCAATTGATTGTAGCCGCATTGCACAAAAATAGTTTTATTTTAATTAAATGTAATAGAGAATATAAATGTTGTACAATCTTTTGCGTATTTGAGCAACTTAACAGACAATTAAAACGCGACAGAAGTTTTCCTGTGCTTTTTTATTTGATCACTAATATGTATGTAACATATATATCTCTCGACATATATCATGCAGTATTTGCAGCCAGAGTTGTCCAGGCTTTAAATCAATTTTCAAGCGAGCAGAACGTTAAAAATTATGAAAATTAAATTAAACGCCGCATAATTTTTGTTAATTTGTTCGTTAATTTAATAATACGTGAGTGCAGAATGTAGCCACAGAAGCTCATATTAAAGTTGACTATATATATTTGCTTATATATATATACATATATATATATATAGATGTGCCAGATTCTCTCTAGGGAGACGGGGGTGTGGAGTTCATTGCAATTTAACGCGCGATGGCCACGGATATCCGTTTAATGGCCATGAATACATAAATATTAAAAATGTATTTGTTTATTACACACAGACATACCAAAAGCTCACACAACACATACGCAGGCACACACTTAATACTCACACACTCGCACACCCATGCAGAAGTCAGCTTACATGCCTTTATGAGAATTTATTTACCTTTGCAAATAAAATATATGGCCAGTTTTTTTTAACGGAAAGCAATTTAAACAATACCCAAGAGTATTTATAATAAGCGCAATAAAAAGCAATAATAAAAAAACTATCTGTGCAAGTTGTGAAGAGATTGGCTTTTATAACAGCCTGCGTGCATGTGTTTGTGTGTGTGTGTGTGTGCGTGAGTGAGTATTGGTGAGTACGTCCGTTTTCCTGTGGCTTGTTAAAAATAATTTAATTTTATTGTGTTTCAATTATTGTTTGCTTTAATGGAGTAAAAACAACAGTAACAGTAGCAAAAATCAATTTTGTATTTTAGAAGAGAACTCGCATCAAAAATAGGTTCATAGAGAAAGTGCCTGCCACTTTGGGACAGAAACTCTGCACTCTGACACTTACATATTCCAGTTGGAGTAAATTAAAAATGCCATTGGGCAGTTGAGATATACCCATTAGATAGGTTCAAGGAACATCTGCATGTGCTCCAGTTACACAAAGTGCTTAATCAAGCTGAAAACAAGAGCACTTGAAAAAGAAATAACACGTATCCACACACACACACACACACACACACACACACACCACTCAATGCTGTGGACAAAGTAAAGTGAAGTAGTTTAAAATTAAAAAGGACACATAATCCTGTCAGTGCATTGCCACGCGGACGCTCGCCTAAGTGAAATTCTAACGGACAGGCGAACGAGCATTGGGATTAGCAGGCGGATAAGAGCTCCTGCAGGACTATAGTCGATCTAGAGGGTGTTTTCATTTGATTTGGCTGTCCCCTGTCCACATGTTTGCCGCATACATACATACCCAATATGCATCTACGAGTGTGTGTAAATGTATTTGCGTCTGCTCCTGCTGAATGCTTGCTCATCGCACCGCACAAGAAGTGCAATTATGTGCACAAAATGTGGAAAATGAAGCAAGAAAGTGGAGCAATTGCTGCAAACGTATGTAGAAATTAAGAAAAATAAAGGCCGTGTAGAAAAAGGGCATTGGACAGCGACATTACTGATTGCTGGATATGGTCGGTTTTACGACAAAAGCAATTGTAACCCACATTGGCTGGCAATTAGCAAAATTACATGCTTTATAATGTGAGAACTGGCAATACAAATAGTGTTAAATATCTTAATATAAACACTGTCAGGAATACAAGTTTACGCACTCTATAATTTAATTAACCTTTTTGATATTCTAACATATTTGTTTGATTTGCTTAATCATGTGCAAAAAAGTTGTATTCATCTTTGGCTTAAGCTCCATATTATTCGAGCATATATCCTTGATCGAAATGAAGGAACTAACATTTTTGCTACAGGAAGAAGAATATGTTTATATATGTCTTTATATAAAAAACAAAACTATTATAAAGCTTCATGGTTCAGTGTTTCATATTGAGGCATAAGTAACAAAATCTCGTTAAGTTCCTTATTGTATTTTTTTAAAATTTTTAATGTCAAATGTGCTTTATTTATTTCGTTGTATGCTTGACATTATAAAGTTTGCTTAATTAAGTAAAAAGCAAAAATAATCAATCAATAACATTAATACATCAACAACTTAAAAGCTGAATTAACCAAATTGTATATGGAAGCCCATTCTAACAGTCTAACAATAGTTTCTTTGAAACATAAAGAGAATGCCACGCCCCCTGCCTCTTCCGATAATAAACGAAATAATGAAGTGGTTTAGCGGACTTCTCATTTTAGCCACGCCCACCAATGCACCACGAATCAGCACAATGTAACAACTACTTAGGGTCAACTAGTTGTGTAAGAGGACTTCAAATTAAAATCTTATTTCAAAAACTAGCTGTTTTAATACTAGCAGCAGTATATCTCAAAGACTAAACAATTAAATATAAATATATAATGGAGTTTAATCGTGGAGTGTGGCTTAACTTATTTGACGCAGTGTGTGTTACCTTTCTGTAATATCAAACTGTTTCAATTATATAATTGCTCAAGCGACAATGCGGCGTATGTGTAATATTGCTAATTAAAAGAGAGCAGCCGGCATTTGAAGGGCTTAGTCAGTGAACGGCAAAGTCTCGTTGGTGTCTGGCATGGAGGGTCAATTGCTGGCGACAGCGCGTCCCTATCTGCAGTTCTTCTCGCTGGTCACGCTGATGCCACCGCCCAGCAGCTATGAGAGGGATGCTGACCTCTGTCAGAGGCGGCCTTTGATATTCGCCTTTGGGTGCTACAGTTGCTGCGTCTTTCTGCTGGGCATGTATGAGACCTATGTGAACATACTAACGCTTAACTTTGAAGTACGCATATTGGAGGTCGAGGATTTCACAAGTGCCCTGGGCATGGTGCAGAAGACCTTCTACACAATCCTGCTGGCCATCATACATGTCAACATGCTAATTTATTATCGCAGACTGGGTCAGATTTATATGACTATAGCTGCACTGGAGCTGGACTTGGATGATGCGTCCCAGTGCTTTGGTGGGCTGGTGAAGCGTACCAGATTTCGCCAACGCTTGGCTCTTGTCATTGGACTTTGGATTATGTTTCTGCTCATTGCTTTTCCCATTATTACGATTCCTGTAATGACGGAGTACATGAGCTGGCGCAACAAGATTCTCACCGAGTTCATATTACTGGTGGTTCAATTGAAAAGTGTGGAGTATGTTTTGTTTGTGGTCTTAGTGCAGGAGCTGCTGCTGCGTCTGCGCCACACGCTAATCTACTTGCAGCAGGAGTTAACCGACTGTCATCAGCGCGCCCTGCTCCAAGCCCTCTGCGTGGCACTGCTGCGCAACAAACAGCTGATGGCTCGTGTTTGGAAGCTGGTGGGCGAACTGGAGGCCTACTACCTGCTGCCAATGTTATGCCTGTTTCTGTACAACGGACTGGCCATGCTGCACATCGTCAATTGGGCTTACATACAGGCGTTCAATCCGAGCGATTGTACAAATTGTCGTTACCGTAAGTGCACAGGATTAGATTAGATAAATGCCCACTAAGACACTTGTTTTAAATTTATCTATCAATATCAATAATTCCAGTGCGCGTTGGCAACTTGATGCTTCTGCTTATCAATCTTTTGATACCCTGCTGGCTCAGTCAAAACTGCATCGGCACAGTAAATAGAAATTTAGTCAGCTTAAATACCCTTGCAGAAAGTACTTTAAGTTTACAATTAAATTGTTTGAAATTCTTAAGTATCTCAATATTTAAGCCATGTCCATCTTTCTGTTTCTATGCAAACAAGTCTCTCAGTTTTAAAGCTGTCGTCATGAAATTTTCTTTCTTGCCGGATCGGATAACTATATCATATAGCTGCTATCGAAAGTATCGGTAGAAAAATAAGTTCTAGCATGAAAAACATTTTTATTTTCGAGATAGCCACACTTGGCACCGACAATAACATACGTCGGACTATTTAATCATAGAGTTCTATAGGAAGAATCGGTCAAAAAATTAGTTTTTGTATGAATAAGTTTTGTTTTCATGGTAGCTTCTCCTACCGCAGCTATTATGAGCTTTTCAATGTTCCAGCAAAACCGAAATCCATATTATTAAACATTCGATTGAATGTTATTAATATCCTATATACGTGCTGGCAAAACTGATTAATATCGGGCCAACATAACGTATGATTAATCTTTTGAAAATTGAATTCTATAAAGCTTAGATCGACTTTTAATATTGTGCACTGACATAGGTCTGCAAGGGTATTTAAAATTCGGCTGTCCGATAATAATTATATTTCTTGTTCTTTGGACAATAACGCTATTGTTATTACAGTACAACAGCTTTAAACGCATTATACACAATATTCGCTGCGGTAAGATTAATCCGGCGTTGCTTAGCAATGGCTTGCGGGAATATGCTCTGCAATTGGAACATTTAAAGCTGCGCTTTACTTGCGGCAATTTCTTTGAAATTAACCTAAAATGCTTTGGCAGTGTAAGTTAAATATATATTATACAAACCCTCTCTTAATCGATTAAATAACATATATTCATATATGCCTTGCAGATGGTGGTCACCATAGTCAGCTTTACCATTATTTTGATACAGTTCAAGCTGCAGGGCATTGTCGATGCAAAGAGGCAGATTATGCAGAAAAGCCCGCCGAAAGCTCACTGAAAGCTATGCTGGAATTAACAGTCTGCTAGCTTAACATTCTAGAGTTGGCGCCAAATGCTGTTATTTGAAATTCTTCAAATATATATATATGAATTTATTGTAACATTTAGACTATATTATTGTTTCCGTAATTGCAATCGAGCAACTTTAACGATCAATTCTCATTAGGGTAAAGTGCTTATTCTAAGCCTTATATAATTAACATTTAATGTTTTTGCGGTTAGTTGTACTCATAATTAGTGTATTGTAATTGCGACGATCAACTTATGGTTACTTAGAAACTATATATTGCTTATCACCTACTGCTAAACATCTGCCTACCCATGACCCATCAGTGTTCAATTATGTTTATATCTAGCTTACGGTTAACATATACAGGTTTTAGTTGGACTTTTATATTCTCGTGAAATGTTCAGTTACGTAATTTGTTTGGATTTAGATTTTTGTCATATAACTTTCATTAGATAATCACAGACTGAATAACTGGAATAACTTATGGAAGTTCCACGTACACACAATATAAGTATAAAATATTTAACTAGAGCAAAAATTAGCTATTTTAAAATACGCCACATATCAATTTCTGGCGCAAGCTGTTTGTAAACAAACCAACAAAACGTATAAATAAATCTCAACCATTGGGAAGTCAATATGTGCACGTATATATATACAATACAAGAATGCCATTGGCAGTTAGATTTACAATCGGTTTAAGGTAAAGCTCCATACAGTGATTATTAATGTTTATACAGTTATGTATGTATATATTACTATTGGTATAAAAGTAATAACATATTGGAAGGACACTGGTGGTCTTATATACATACATAAATAGTACAAACAAGCACTTACATATAGTTACATAATTGAGTTTAAATTCTATGGATAACTTGGGCTAGCTACTTAAAACAGGTCCATGTTGTTGGTCATATAGCTAAGCAGATAATACAAATAAATAAATAGACACACTGTAGGCAGGAGATAATTCAGCAGTAGGTTAACTATTATCCCGTCCCGTGCTTTCCGTTCTCGAACAGGCCCTTCTTGAAAAAAGACGACAGCTGAACAAGCGAGGCACGCGTGAGGCCAGGCCCCCCGGGTCCATCATAAATTGGACACTGTGGAATTTTTGAGCAAACGACGAACAGGCGACGCAAATAGAGCTCTAGCAAACGGCGACGATGCTTTGCCACCGGCTCACTATTTGAGGCAAAGAGTTCCCGGCGTGGGAAAGGCAAAGCAGAGATCTACAAAGATTTGTTGTTCAAAATATAAACAATTAACAATTAAATTTCAGACGACTCACCTTGGCACCATAGCAGTGCTTCATGCACAAGTGCAGCTCACGAAAGCGACTATATCGGCGCAAAATGTTTAGCTTGCCATCGGGCAGTGCGATTCGCACCTCGTACTCGTAGTGCGTCTGCTTGCCAGCTCCGCGCATCACAAAACTTGGTATGGTGATGAAATGCTCGCCTTCAGCTATGAAATATATAATATTAAGTTTAATTAGTTTTAAAGTTTTTGTTGCAAATTAGCAAATACGTACGAAATTCCCTCATGGATGGGCACGATCTTGTCATGCTGGGCGAATAGATTTGCGAGGTGGACTCCTCCATGCTGGTTGGACTCATCGCACTGGAGCGCATTATAGAGCTGGCCAGCTCGTACTGCCTTTCCATGCCAGCACGTTCATCCGCACAACACTGCGTATGAGATTCAAGATCCTGTACCGTTTGCAGCATTTCCTGTTCCATATGTATGTAGCTTCGCTGAAGGTCCTGCAGAACCGCAATTTGCTCATCAAGCTGAACTTTGTTAAGATCTGTTTCTAGATTTTTCATAATTAAAGCCTTCTGAGCGGCAATTTTGCGACGCTGCGCATGCAATGGACAGTAGGCGCGCGTCATGCCCGAGTTGCGTCCCAGCTCACAAGACGAACAGGAGCCCGTCTCCTCGTCGCTGGTGCGCGTGGTCTGTCTATAATTGCCGCCAGCACCGTTTTGGAGCAGCGCCTGATTTCGACTGTCCAGGCATACGCCGCTGTCGCTCATGATTGCCTGCGAGCTGGGCGCCATTGAAGTGTTGCCACTGCCACTGCTGGGACCGGCAGTGCAGGTGCGCGATGTATCCTCGCTGCTGCCTGAGAAGTCATCCTTGCGCGTATCCTCAGCCTCGTCTTCTGCCTCGCACGAGAAATTGCTCAGCGGCGACTGCTGACCCTCTGTTATGGTAGGCGATGACAAGAGCGAGAAATCCGAGTGTGCCGTATGAAAGGTATCACAGGTTTCATAAGTGTCCGATTTGGACACATCGTCCGTATCATTTGCACTTGGTATCTGCAATTGCATGCCCTGTTTTTTGACCCTCATCGCCTGGGACTCCTTCTCGCTTTCAGCACGCTCCTGGCGCAAACGCTCCAATTGCCCCTGTATTTCCAGCATGGTCTCATCAACTTTGGCTATTTTAGTGGTGCTGGCATTGAGTATGCGCTCCTTTTCGGCTATTTGCTCGTCCAGCCTGCGGATCTCCTCATTCTGCGCGGCATGTTTATTGAAGTTAATCAAGTGTCAATTATTTTTTTGAAGTTCGAACTTACATTTCTTCGTACCGTATCCTTGATAAACTGCGCTGCAAACAAATCTAGCGAGTCGGAGACGTGCAGCAGCAGCTCATCATTTAGCGGAGTTCCCTCCTCAATCTTTACACCCATCTGTAATGGATTATTAACGATAGAAGTTAGCTAATCATAAGCCTCGATCTCCTAATTAATAGTCTTAGCTCTAAGCAAATCATATCAAAGCAAAAACCAAACAAACCTCGTCAAGTTTGCCACAATCATGCAGCTCCTGCAATTCTTTGGCTACATACTCTGAGAAATCGCGTTTCTTTGAGTCGAGCTGCGTTTGAAACGCTGATATTTGTCTACACACAATGTCGATCTAAAATGAAAATTTAACATACGAAAAACCATAAAAATAACAAAAATAATAATGCAAACCAGAGAAATGTACATAACAAGCACGTGCCAAATAAAAGATTCGTAGCTTTACATGCATTTTGCTGAATCAGATAGACGAACCTGAACTTTCTCGTTATTCTTTTCCCACAGCAGCATATCCTTGCGGGCAAGCAGCTCCTGTTCGCGACATTTCAATAACTGCATGCCATCCATTTTCTCCAGCTCGAGGCGCTTGAGTTCCTCGGTTAGCTTTCGCACCTTCGTCTTGTATTGGTCGTGCATCTGAACGCGCTCCTGTAAATAGCATAGTTAAATTTGAGTGAAGAACGAAGGGCATAATACAATATTAACTGACCACATTCAGCTGCTTGAGTGCATTCTCAATGGTATCAAGTATTTTGCGGTTTTCATCCTGCAGTTCGGGATCATCGCGTGACGTGGGGCGCTGTGGATAATACTGGCGATCGGATCGTTTATAGGGCGACGAGGTGCTGCCTGTCATGGCATCCTCGTCCAAGTAGGTGCTGCATGTGAGCAGGTTCTCCCGCGACGAGGTTATCAAAGACAGACGCGACATATCCAATTGTGAGCGATGCAAGTCTTTGCGCAGCTTTTCTGCCTCGGTGGGATTGTTGAAGCGAAAAATGTTGGTGCGTCCCAGCAATATGATATCACCCTGTGAGATCTGCCTAGGCTCGTCTATGAGATGCGCATTCACCCAGCACTGGGCCTGCGGGCGGGGATGCAGCGTGGCAACGCCACCCTTGAGAATAATGCTGCAGTGCTGCGGTCGTATGCCATCGCCCACCAGCTCAATGTGCTGCGCCAGCTCCGCATCCTCAGTGCCAATGCGCGTTTCGCCCTCCTTTAAGCTGTACAGTGTGACGCCGGTCGTCACATCATTGTGTATGCCAATTAAATGCGGTATTTCCGAGTCGAGAACAACGCCCACGCCGGATTTGCGCAGACCCAGACTTTTTTGCTCCTGCAATATGGACTGGGCCACCTTCCATTTCTCTGTCCACTCTTCGGTAAGCACTTTCTCCTGCGCCTCCTTCTTTTGCAGATCGGCCAGTACTTTGAGCGAGGGCTGCAACGAGTGCTGATAGGGCACAGAAAACAATATTTGATATATTTAAAGCATTAAATAATGAACAACTTACAATATCGCCCGTCAGCATGGATTTTAGCTTGTTTATTTCCTCGCGCAGCTCGCGTATTAGCTTCACATTGGCATCCTCATTAACTGTGGGCTTGTTGATGATGTTCTTGGCGCGATTCGCGTATCGCAGTGTGCTCAGCGTTTCGCTGTAATTGCAGTCCGCCGGCGACAGCGCCGCTATCATGATTGTCTTGCTGTTGCCGCCCAGACTGTCCTTGAGCAGCCAGGTGAGTATGGAGTCGCGATACGGAATGTACAGCACGCGCTGGGTGCCGCCGTTCGGTGTGGTGGCCAGTGAGGTCGCATTATGTGCGCTGCCAGCGCTCGTTTGTTCCGCCAATGCTGAGATGACACTGCCCAGCGTCACAAGCGATTTGTTGATGTGAGCGCCCTCCTTCAGGCGTTGACCCGTTGCGCCCGTTGCATTGGCGCGCTCACTGCAAAAGAGAGTTGTTAATAACGATAGTTTGTCAAGGCACAATTTCATGCTCCACTAACTCACCTGCCAGCCAAGTCGACCAGGTGGATTTTTGAGACTGTTTCGCTTGGCATGTCATTCATGAAGACTGCCTGCACAAACGTAATCGTGAAGATGGCGTGACTGCGACTGCTCGTGTCATTCATGTTGGTGCTGGCCGTGGTGCGATGCGCATTGCCTCGCGCAATGCATTCCTGTAAAAGATCATCCAGTTTAGGGCTAAGTCTCGTGCGTTTCCCAAGTCAAATGCCAACACTCACCTGTATCTCTTCAAAGTCAGAGACCGCATGCTGTGACAAATTCTCCACGTATGGACCCAAGCTGCGATGCTCGCGCACGCGAAGCGCATGTCCTGTGCTCTGTGGCGCCAGCAGATCTTTCACCCGCTCGTTATAAATCTCCAGATAGCTGGCGTGCGTACGATATCCTGTGCCCGACTCCTGGCCAACGCGCATGCGCGTGAAGAGCTCCTCGCAAATGCGCGGTATCAGGCCCGGATTGTTCGGCGTGCCCATCATTGTGAACGTCTTGCCCGAGCCCGTCTGTCCATAGGCAAAGACGCAGGCATTGTAACCTGTCAAGAGACGAAGACCACGTGAATGCCAATTTAAAAAGGTAAGAGGTTGCAGCTCAAACGTTGCATCGCTGCTTGCCAACCAAATTGCTGCATGCGATTACCACACTTGACGAGCATTGGCTAACACATGAGTAGCACGGCGAACCGTGACTAATGTCTGGCATGTTGATTACAATTGGAGTTTTGGTTTTCAGAGTATACTATATAATATAAATTAAATGTGAAGCAGCATGGTTGGGTAGAAGAAGATAAATCAAAATGCGTTTGAAGTAAATATCATCCCTTAATGAACATAAATACATTTTAGATTACAAACTCGTATAGGATTAATTTATTTGAATTTTAAATTCATTGAAAAAAAATAATTTAATTAAAAATGTTTATTCATGTTAGAAAAATTATAAACACAATATTTTTTCATCCCTATTGAAGGTAAAGCATAAGTAGCCAAGAATGCATAAGATTAAATTATATGCATATTAAATGCATTGTACAAATTTAATTTAATTGAAAATGTATGTTCATTATGATTCAATTTCACAAACACAATTTTTTCATCCCGTACATTTAAAGCAAAGGATAAATTAGCCAGAAGTGTATAAGATTAATTAATTTATTTGTAATTTAAACTCATTGAAAAAATGAATTCTATTTTAAAATGTTTATACATTATAAATCACGCCCACACTTTTGCAATGACTTGCAATCAAAGGAGGAAAGTCAGCGTATTTAAAGCAGATTAAATTAAATTAAACTAATTGATGGAAAAAGGAGAGGAGTAGGAAGAGCGAGTGGCATATCACCAATGACCATGAAATAGTTTTTTATAATATAAATGTATAATATATATTCTTAGTAGATGTGTGTAAATAAAAAGTTCATTGTTTAACTAAACAACAGGTCGAAATCCCATGCGAATCCTATGCATTTAATAGATGTGGTGATTCTTAGCCATTGCTATATAAAGTTGATCTACCTATCGTATATACGAGATCGTATATAAAGACTATGTACAAAATGTTACTCTAAGAGTCTTTGCAATCGGCGCGTTCACACAATATTACGAATACGTTTCTTATATATTTGTGGGGAACGGGGTGAGGTACTCGAAGAGTGTATTTTTCTAGTTCTGTGTATACTATTATAATATTTTGCAGTCTCTAGCTTTTATAAGCTCCGACATGTTAAAAAAAAGGATTTCGATATAGATATTTATCGATTTCATGGAAACGGGGAATGTTAGCGATAGGAGGACCTATGTTCAAAAATTTAAGTCTCTAGATCGGGCGGATGGACAGACAGACGGCCAGGCAGACAGGCAGACATTCATGGCTGCATCGACTTGACTATTGATGCTCAGTAAGAATAGATATACCTTATGGTGTCGGAGATGCTTCCATCTGCCTGTTACATTCACTTGCGCAATACTATTATACCCTTTTCATGGGTAGAGGGTATAATTAAAAATGCGCGTTGAATGTCAACATATATGTTTACTTTGTTTGGCTGTAATTTGAATTTGAATTATTCAATAACTGTCTCAGCTAACGAAATGCAAACAAATTTGTAGACAGCTTAGCACATACTTCCGGATATTTTGCATTAATAAACGAATGCGTAATGCAAAAAGTTTTGAAACAATTATTGTGGTTTCTGTACTAAATAAACTTCTAATCCAATTTATTTCCGTGGTATGATCTTTAATGTTAAGCAGCTATATAAACCATTATCTAAAGATAGATAATGCAGCTTAGTTATATATTTGAGAGCAGGAGACAGGCTGCTCGGCCATTGCACATCTGTAGATGGGCGGGGCGACCCGGACGGGGCACAACACTTTTACTGTAATTGCAGCTCAAGTGTCGGCTGAGGCGGAGGCGACAGTTGAACCCGCCCATTGGGCGGCGGTGTGCGCCACGTTTAAACGCCTCAACAGCTTGTTGGGCTGCTGTCTAGCCAAGAGTTGGCTTGAATGGGCCCCTTCGAAAGCGTCATCGGAGACCGCACAAGTGGTGCAACAGCCAACAACAGCAACAGCAACAACAAAGACAATTGCACTGCCAAGTCACTGCCGCATTTAGCCAGTCAGCCACACGTACACCGACTATTCAAAGTCAGGCTCTCGGCAAGCCTAACAGCCCGCTAGGCAAGTGGACATCACTTGCAGTTTTTATGGCAACACTTGCATGGGCTATACTGCATTTGTCAAGAAATATGTAACGCACTGAGGGATTTCAATTGAGCCACTTTTATTTAGCTCTCAGTTTGGGGTATTGTTTGAGACAAAGGATCGAAAAAAAAGAACATAATGTGAAAGTTAATTAGATGTCTAAGCTTTGTTGGAGTATATGTACATGAATTAAGCATTTCTTTAAATGAAAACAAGCTGAGACTTTTAAAACAAACAAACTTTTACTAAAAATGAATACCAATAAAATCTTAAAATAAGTGCGAAGTTTAGGTTTGAAACCTACATAAAAATCTGGATTTTAAATGTGAACCCTTTTCTCTGTGGGATAATTGTGTTGTGTTTTGACATCTTAAGCAAACTTATATATTAATAAATAGAAACATATTAACAAAACAGTTATTAGTTACAATATGACTCGATAAGTGTATCGAATTCTTGGATATTGCTTAAGAAAAACAATGCAAACAAATCACATAATCCTACAGCTGCAATCTTTTAATATCTTCTGAGCAAGGGTATTCAAGCGTCGGTACTTTAAAATCAACTGTTCCGTTTTTTGCATTTAGTTTTGACTACGCTATTTGAAGAGCACATGGTTGACTCGTGTTCATGCAACTTTTGTCATTCCCAGCCAACGGACCAATCTTGGCCGGGTAATTTGATATTGAAAGCGTGCCAAGCGGCAGCAACAACAACAAACGAATAACAAGCAATAACAATACGGGCAAAAAAAAAAACAAACAGCTGCAAACAGCTGTTCCATTCCGCTTGGCATTTTGTGTTGCAGTTGCAGTTGTGGGCGAAAGTTATTTTTCGGCTTTTGTTTTTCGCCAAGCAATAAAAAGAAATTAGACTTCTGCTATGGTTGATGTCGAGTGAAAGCGCATAAAATATTACGCACTGATGGAACCCGATAGCCAGGCACGTGCTAGTCATGTCAACAATCAATCAATTGCCGTTCCCAGCGGGGCACCGTCTCCTGAAAGCGCTCAAGTGTGTGCCCTGTGGCCGTAGTTCCCAATTTGCATGTTTTTTGGGGGGGGGGGGGGGGCAAAAACGACGCGAATCGCGCAATAGCTTATTTTTAGTCAAGCATTTGGTTACACAGCGAAAATTCGGAAAATCAAAGACCACCAAAAAATGTAAACAAACGAATGCAAGTGCCAGCAAGTCGACATGTCTGGTCGTCTGTCTGACTGGCAAGAGCTTTTGGGCCAGCAAAGTCACGGCCAAGAGCTGAAAGCCAAGCTATGAGCAATTAGTGCTCGGCTAATGTGTCACTTGGCAGCGAACCCAACTCAACAGTGTGATGTCATCGCAACGACTGCTCTTTGAACCGATTATGCAAACAACTCACCTTCGTAGGCGCAGTCGACCACATCGTTGCCCAGATCGCTGTACACCTGCTCCTGTGTGGCGAAATGTGAATCCTCAGCATCGAATGACCAGTACGAATAGTCGAAGGTGAAATCGTGATGAGCCTCGCGACCTCCATCGCGTATGGACTGCAAGCGGGGTTTGAGCAGGCGCGTCTTCTTGCCCTCCATTTCGACAATCAGCTGGGCGTCCATATCGTTTTCGCTGCAAAGAAGAGCAGAGGGTTGTGCAGGGCTTCAGTATGACAGTTCAATAAAATACCCTGTAAATGACCTTGGCCCATCAATTTGACAAACTGACGTCGCACAGTTGGAAAAGTTTTTGTTGCTGTTGTTGTTATTATTGTGAGTTTGCCCCATTAGCTGCCCATTTGGTTGCTTTTCGAGTCGAGCTGTCCATAAAAATATTGCTATTTATAATCGCTGTGCATGATCTGAAAATGGTGAATGGCGCCGAGAACTGCTGAATAATGCGCCGCCAAATGCGGCTTTCAAAACAGTCACATGATTTCTCAGGCGGCAATTTACAAATAACAATTCCGGTTTTGTTAAATGAAAACTGAAAAACTTGAATAAAAATATGAAGAAAAGAAAAGCCGTTGACCAGCGGTCACATAGAACATATGACGGAGCAACCGGTCCACTGCGACATCATCCGCGACACGGTTCGGGGCATACACCCACCGCAGTGGCAAGTGCCAGCGGCAACAAGAACCAAATGCCACCCGACTCAGAGACTTGCCCCTATGACTCAGTCAATGGCCCCGCAGATAGACAGACGCTGTGAATATCTCTTTTTTTGCATACACTTGCGTAGGGTATTTAGGAATCGTCATGCAGTGTTTAAAATCTTAATGGAGACAGCTGCGACCTCATAAGGCATAGGTGGGCAATTCTAAGCACAGGTCTGCTGTAAACAATTCGATACGCTAAAATGCGCACTGTAAACAATATTTGTTTATATTCAAAGCCATTTTCGCTTTCGTGATATTTGTTTAAGACATTTTTAACTAAAAAAAAACATAATTGAGTGAAAAACTTTTGTATTTTTAGATTAAAAGATAACTGAAATATAATTGAGAAAATATTATATAAGACGTAAAACATATAATAATAACAAGAGCTACATCTGTCATATGGCATGGCAAGGGTATTCAGTAGTCGGCATCACAAGCTAGACTATCTCGATTTAAGTCTTCTTTTTTATCTACACGCGTCTTGTCCCCATTTAAAGCAACAATTTTAGGTCATTCCTCTTTTCTTATGGGGCTCATTGCGCATTGCTCGTGCCGCATTGTTGGTGGCATGTTTACGCTCCACTTTCAGCTGCAAGCATTTGATGCGAGCGGCTCTGAGTGGTTCTCAGTGCTCGGTGCTCGGTGCACGGTTCTCGGTTCCTCTGCTCATTGCCGTCGAGTGGTTTTAATTCTTTAATCTGCCGGTTTGTTGTCGAGCGCTTTGAGTTAGTCAGTTTATTGCGCATTCCCCTCCACTTTATCTGAATCTGTGGCGCTGATTTGTTCCTCAATTCCCAGCAAACACAGAAACGAATTTACAAATGTATGTACATGCCCCTTTGGATATGACCAAATATCTGACTCATGGCACATCAAAAAAAGGTGAATAAATCGCTAACAAAGTTCATAATGAATATGGAAGTTGTTTGATTTGCACTTGCGTGCAAAATGTATTCATAATACCCATATACATATGTATATATGTACATATATGTGCGAAAACCTGAATTACTAACGAAATTTTGATACAGTTTAAGAGTTGTATACACATTAACACACATATATACATGCACCCAGGCATATGTATTTAATCGCAATTACATTTAATGTTTGTTTTTGCCAAAGACGCGCTCTACCATGACTACAGTGAGAGAAAAAAATGGGGTCAACAAAAACCTTCAAGTAAATCCAAATTTCATACAATTCAAACCTTTTTTTTTTTTAAAGATATTAGATGATGTAAGAGCTGTAAAGCAAATGCTAATTGTATATAATGATTAAGGTGTCGATGTTTAGATCTTTTTATCATTTTTAGGAAGCACAGTGTTACCTCGTTAAAGACGCTATTCTCTTAAACTTATAATACTAATATCTATTGGCACTATTATTTCAATTGTATTTTAAGTTAGATAAAGTTTGCTCCATAAAACAGAACAAATTAACCTAGAATTAGGGTTATTGTATCTTTATAAAGACATCAATCTGTCGATCTTTGGCAATAAAATCTCGAACAAGACTCAAATGCAGAAAATAAATTATTCTCAAATATTTTATTACAGTAGAGACTCGGCATCTGATTCAAAATTTACAATCTCTTTTGTTATATATGTATTTGGTTTTATTTGGGTTTTTCTTGCTAGTGGAAAGTAATTGGCTTACAAATAAACCAAAAAGAAGATAAGATATGCTATCAAAATTGTTTGGGTAGTAAAATATTGCTGTGGTATTTGCTTAGAACTTTACGAACTAGTCTGCATATTAGAACTATGCGAGCATATTTGAATTAAATTGGTTCAGGTAGCCTTTAAAATAAACCAAAATAATTATTAAGTATTTATTTGTGTATTTTAACTCACGCTTTGATTATAAGGCATACAGTTTGGGCTGATATGGTTTTAGTATTTTGTTTATTTTATATATATATTTTTTATTACGATTAATGTTAATTATAATTATAATTATTTATATAACCTTTAACATAATCAAAGAGCATATTTATATTTATGTATTCATATATTTAATATATATTTATTTATTTATATTATATTTATATATTTAAATATTTTTTATATATTTCTTTATGTTCAATTATTAAAAAAAGTTAAGCTTTGAGCTGCAGGCAAACAGGTTAAATATTTAAAAATGTTTTTTATTTTATATATATTTTATAACAGTTAACGAAATTTGTAATATTATATAATATTGTTTTGATATTTTGTATTGAATTTTATGTATATTTTATTATATTTATTGCTGGTGTCGTTTCGGTTAGAGAAGTAATTCTTATTCGCAAAAAAATTAGCTTTTGTGAATACTTCGTTTAGCCCAACAAACAATAAAAATTAGTAATGCATTTAAGTACTATATTTTAATTAAAATGTCTCCCAAGTTCAATTTCACGGAGTTGTTGAAACTATCTAGTATACAAAAATGTGACAAACAAATACTCAGTATTAAGAGTTTTTGATTAAATGTCTTCTTCTTAGTTTAGGGAAATTAAGATCTCTAAAACTTAAAGTTTACGGTCATTTGAATACGCAACAATCTAAGTACATTTATTCTTTATATTTTTATTTCCTGTTTATTTATATACAAACGCAAGAAGGCATTTCTTTCCGTGTACACTCATGTAAATATGCGCTACAAATTTTGTTTTCACGCTAAACAAAACATCAAATATGCATATTTCTATATGCACATGACTGTATGTGTGTGTGTGTGGTTGTGTGTGTGTGTGTGAGTAGCCGGCAGCAATTTAAACACTGTGTTAAACACAGAGCAGATGAAGACGGAAGATGACGTCACCCTGAGTGTCTGTGTGTGTGCGTGCAGCAGGGACTCCAGAGAACTCCAGAGTACTCTAGAGAGCTCTCTACCTATACAATATTTGATCTTATGTAAACGCAATTACCACAATGAAAGTCATTAAAGCAAATAAACAAAAAACAGACGAACTCATTTCTACATGATTTTTTGTTGTCTTTTGTTTTTTGTGTGTGAGATGAATGACATCATTATGAATGTATCTTTGTTGCTTTGTTCTGCTGCCCGTTGCCAAAATCTTTCGCGCTTCATGCACGTTTAAGCCAAGTTCCTTTGCCAGACGTAACCAGCGCGCCAAGATAGACACACACACACACACGTACACGCCATAAAAAATATTGTTAAATGCGGTTTTAAGTAGCCGTTGGGCAAGTTTAGGCCAACGTTCTTTGCCAGTTTGCTTCCATTTTGTTGGCCAAAAACCAAAAACAGATACAATTAAAAAAAAAAAAAAACAACAAGTTGGCACGTCAGCAGCGCAAATGTTTTGCAGTGAATGGTTTTTACAAAGGCCACTAGTTTTTAAGGGGATGCGCAACAGGCCAATCGAGGGGCGTTCACAAATGTGGCGAGTTATCAATTCTAGTTGGAACGCATATACGTATACGAATACGAATTCCGATTCGAAGGCAAAGGGCACTGCTTGTCGCACTTACCGTGAGTTGAAGGGGCGAACCCTTACGGCAACCTTGAGCGACGACATTTCGGTGGTTGCAGCTCTTCTTCTTCCTGTTGGTGTTGGTGGTGTTGTTATTTCTGCTGCTGCTACTCCTTTGCTATGCACAGTTATGTTAAAAGTGATGGCGTGGGGGCGACGACGAAGGGCATGTACAGTACGGCTGGTTGTTTGGGTATTTAACTAAGTAGCAACAGCCACGTAATTTTGATTGTTATTGTTTTTTTTCCTGCACACACTTTGCGCTCACCACGCGAATATTTGCCGTGTATTTTGATGCAATATTTCTTGTTATTCTTCTTTTTGCTTCTTGTCTGTACATATGAATTTGCGCGATTTTTGGGTTGTTTTTGTTGTTGCTGTTGTTGTTGCTGGCCTTGTTATTTTGTTTTTGTTTTCGTTGCCTTATGCAGCGTTTCATGTTGCGCGCCACAGACGGCAACAAGCACACCACATAATAGTTATATTAAAAACAATAATTGAACACTATTTGATCTACTTGCACCATTCATTGTTTACTGCTGTCCACAGCAGCCACAGCAGCAGCAGCACAGTGTGCTCCTGCATATGGTGTCTGTATTGGTTGTTAATTCCGTTGCGTATGCAAATCTTATTTTCGCGATTGATGCACTGATTATAAATATCACATAATCAACACACCCGCGCGTGAGAACGCATGACACACAAATATTGCTTATTTTATTCCAATAGATTTTGTGTATTGTGCGCGTTCCGATATTGTTGCTTATAGAGTCTTCTTCTTACTGCAGAAAAATTACAGTGTTGCACAATGTTACTGTTAGCATAGGCAACTGTTGTACTCAAAATGGGCATGTTAGACGGCACTGGTACGCCTAGTATGGAGATTACGAAAAATACTGCTTTCAAGCACTGTCAAAACGGGTACTTTATTATCATTGATACAAAATTAACAAAATTAGGGAATATATTTCAAGCAAAAAAATGTAAGGTGCGTTATAAGACTCTAGCTAATTTGTTGCTCCCGATGTACATTTTTCTTCCATTATCTAATACATATTTTGGCATAATCTTAATTATTAAATCTTATATCTGGACACAAATATTAGTTATACATCGCTCATTAACAGTTGGTCTATTTAAATTGACAGCATTGAAAAATATAATTATATGTGATAAAATTAATGTAGTGTACGTTACATTAGATAAGTTTTTTATTTTTTACAGTTTCGTAAAATCCTAAACTACGTTGACGCAGATTTGAGCAACGTAAGCGCACAAGAGCAAAACGTAACCGACTGTCTGCACTGCTTGTTAGCCGTTGCACTGCTTTATTGAGCATGAACATTTAACCCCAATTGTTGCCGTTAGTTCTAGCAACATAATCAAATTAAAAAGCTTTGTAGCTATTATATTCAAACTTATAAGAGTTTGCTTGCATCCCCACAAGCTAAATTGGCTTTCGGCAATAGTAATTTAAAAAACTATATGTAACTATAAAGAACAATTAAAATTTTTTTAAATATTTTCACCCGTATTCGCAGTCGGAAATTCAAATGTATGTACATTGAATACATTGGCTGCTCAACATTTTCCGTACTCGAGTTCAATTTCCAGTTAAATTTTGTATGCAAAGTGCAAAGACAACAAAAAAATGCCTTATAAATTTTCTAAATCAATTACAATACTTTGCTTTTCTTTAAGTTTTCAGGTTGTACGTTGACCGCACACACACACAGGCTCACATACGCACACACACACGCACACGAACGCACTAATGCTTTTGTATTTGTGAGTGGATTGCATAGTATTCGACAAAAGGCCGGAAATATTCAATTCTGTCAAATGCGTAGCAAAATCGTAAAAAATTGCAATCAACGGGTATGCTCAACTACTAGATGATCTGTATTCAAGATTAAAATATTGTCAATTTTCTAAGTTTTTTTTTAGATTATATATTAAAAATAAGCCCCAATTCCGATCGTTCGATTTATATAGAATGAGAATAAATTCTTTTTTTTTTTTGTTGTTTGTTTATTTTATTGAATAAATTCTAAAGTAGTGAATTCTCCACCTAGGGTATATATATAAAATTATTAAAATAAGAATTGTTCTATATAATCTTAATTCTGGTCGTTCGATTTATAAAGAATAAGAATATATAAACACTTTTACGTATGATTCTCCACTCGAGGTATTTATAAAATTTTTTAAAAATAATTATCCGTGGTTTTGGTATACCTTAATTCCAATCGTTCGACTTATCATAAATATCAATATATACATATAAACTTTAGAGAGCATGCTTCTACATCCATTTAAAAATAACTACTCGTGGTTTAAAAACTTGACTTCTGATTCGTCTTGTCAAGAACTTTAATATAGACTTGGACTTTTCTATCTTTTGCATACACTTCAATGGGTCTTATATGCCCCATTTTGCACTGTATGTGTACAGGGTGTAGCAACAACAAACAAATACTGTGTAAAGTGTGTAAAACGGCGACAAAAACAGCAGCGCTTAAACCGGCTCAGTCGTCTGTCAAACTCCCATTTAAAGCTGGTGCAGCGTTCGCTTTCAGTTTTCATTTTTTAGTTGCATCTCAAACTGTGATCACAGCAGTCGCTAAAAGTCGCCCAACCAAGTGAGTAGCCTTAGAAATTCGAGTCGCATCGTTTCTGTGTTTCCATTCCAAGATCGAGATCAAGTCTGAGTCCACTTTCTAAATGCTGATGATCGATCAACTGTTTTGAACCCATCGCGTTTATAAGGTGTGCACGTCAGCAACGTCATCGTCAAGCCACAAGTCTAGTTAACTTCCTAGCTACGTATCGAAGAAGAAGAAGCAGAAGAGGGTATAGCTTTTGCTTGAAGTAAAACTTAAATATTTCAACTTATATCTAAATGCCATGCGCTGCATATTAAACGCGTTCAACCGTAGCAATAACTGAGAAATTACAATACATTGTGGTAAAGTTCGCACTTCCTTTCATTTCTCTGATCAGAACAGACCCGTCACAAAGGCAGGTACAGTCGAGGGCACTTAAATAGAGTCAGCTACGGAACTATATATATAATTATATAGCAACTGTTAAAGGGGAAATTATTTTAACTATTAAAACTATTTCGGTTGTAGAAAATAAACTAAAGTTTGTATTTCATTATAATTATCTGATTAGAATAAACTTTAAAAAATACAGTCGAAAGCACTTAAATAGAGACAACTACGGAAAGAGTGTATTTATCTATATAGAAACTGTAAATGGAGAAATTGTTCCAAGTATTTAAACTATTTCGGTTATCAGATCAGAATAGACTTTAACAAACACAGGTACAGTCGAGAGCACTTAAATAGAGACAGCTACGGAAAAAAAGTGTAATTATCGTTGAATGAAAAAAGAAGGAAATGTTTTGCGCATTTCAACTAGTTAAGTTGTTAGAAAATAAAAATAAGTTCGCATTTCGTCATATCTATCTAATTAGAACAGACCTTTCACAAATACACTCACAGTAAAGATCACTTCAATATAGACAGCAATGAACAGAAGATGATTATCTAGATAGAAACTGATAAATGAAAATAGAAGAAATTTTTTTACGAAAAAGCAAAAGAAGTTCGCATTTCGTTACATATCTCTTATCAGAAGAACCCGTCACATAGCTAGGGAAAAAATAAAATTAGCTATAAAAAAAAAACACTGATAAAAAAAAAATAATATAATAAAATAAAAAGAGAGAATAGGTGTTAATAAATGCAATACTTCTGTAGAGATAATTATTATTAAGTCAGAATTGTGTCTGATGTATATTCTAAATTTAAATTCGACAACTATTTTCTGAAGTCTTGTAATTAAAATTACTAAAGAAATTCTTAAAATATGTTATGTGCACTTAAAATTGCCGATAGTTAGGAAGTTTGTTGGAAATGGAACACATTTTTTATTTAAATGGATCATACAAAATTTAAGAGACCGAAGGGCATTTCAGAGAATCATTTAACTGTTTGTTTCTCATAAAAAAACAAATTATATGAATTGATATAAACTTCATTTATAAAGCTAATTTTTAACAGATGCAAACTATGGCAGCTAAATAATATAATAACAAAAATTTTGAACCACAATGAGAGAAAAATAAATGATTGAGTTCTATAAGTTGTTCAGACATCAACAATAAAATAATTTTGTATAATAACCTCTGCCATCTGTAAAAGTATTTGATCGAATGGGGTACTCACAAAGTTAAAAGTGGCTACAAATACTTGAAAGGCTTGTGAATACATGCTTAATTTGAAGTGCTTGAATTAGCATTCAAAGTGTTTGAATATAAAAATGATTGATTTCCTTAAATGGGATGCATATGAATGCTATGAGCTCTTTGGCATTTTATAGAGTATACCTGAGACTGAGTCTGGCAATTGTGTTTACAGTTTCTCATGGCATCTGGGCTATAATAACTTTTAGTTTCAATCAGCAGAGAGCTCACACAATCAGCTTGGGCTTGGCCATGGCCAGTCATTAGCACTTCCCAGTAGTGTTCGGGCCTTAATAGGCTTTAGGGAAGTACTTAGTTGACTTGCACAGTTATGTTATGTTGGCACAGCGAGTCGAGCTGCGCTGTTTGGCGAGTGCAAATTAACGCATCTAATAGATACACAGCACAGGCAGCTACAGTGAGCAGTCGCTGTGTGCAACCGTTGAGTGGAGCTCTCGGAATTAACAATGAGATAATCAAACTGACACTAGAACGTCACGAATGCAACCAATTCCCTGTACGCCGGGGGCAGACAATAAGCCCTAAGCCCGACCAATTGCTCAAATTGCTTATATAACGAGTCTCCAGTCTCCAGACCGAGACTCTGCTTGTAATGCCACACGCATACAAAGCAGACGCCAGAAATCGGACAGTTCGCCCGATTAGTCAGCCAAGAGCCAGCGAGCAATCGAAACGATCTGCCCGAACTGGCTTTGTATATAGTTTCAGTGCACGGCGACAGACGCTCAGTTGCCGTTCAACAGTCGCGCTCACAGCTTGAAATACATTTGTATCTACGCGGTGTAGTGCCAAGAGAAATTAACCTGAAACCAAAGAAACAAAACCAATCTTGACAAGCAATTACAAGCTGTAAGCATGTTTATTCAAATGCAAACTAGTTGCAGATACTTCAAATAACAGCTAAAGGCCGACAGCTGTAGATGTATCTGTCGCTTAATTTCTGGGGCAAAGTGAATGTTAAATTGTCTTCTCTAGGCCTTATTTTATATGTAGATGTGACCCGTTCTCCCAAAGATAGCTGACTATTTAGATAAAAGTGAATGTGAACATGAATGTCGTTAGACTTTGGACAGGTATATATGTGCATCCCAACTGCGCAGCTAAAAGTCTATTTGTGATAGATCTTAACTGGAATAAATTATAAATTATAAAAGAAAGCTAAATATATCGTAGAATGCTCATTAATTTCAAATTTACAACACTGTATATACAACAATTTGTACACAGTCAAAAATCAATTTCTGAAATTAAGGTTTGCTGTATTTGAAGAATATTTACAGCAGCATCATTAAA